AATCTAGGTACCTGAAGTTCACAGCAAGGCATACAAATAAGCGTGAGCTGCTCACTTAGGAGCAGCTGACTGAAGTGGACCATCGATCAAGGATCATTCAGTTGATGAATTTATGGTTGTCTACTCCAGTTATGTATGAAAAGCCTCTCCGGGCATTCCTCGAGTCTATCCAGTTCAGAAAAGTAGCAGATAGGAAATTTGTTCATTCCAGATCTAATTCAAGCCATTGCTTTGCCTATGTATATTTCAACATTGCTGGTTTTTATTCAGTCATTGGTATTAATGTAAGCAAATCCGAATTGCAAGTCAGTTTTTTTAAAAGATTTTATTTATTTATTTGATAAAGACATAGTGAGAGAGAGAACAGAAGCAGAGGGAGTGGGAAAGGGAGAAGCAGGCTTCCCATCGAGCAGGGAGCCCGATGTGGGGCTCGATCCCAGGACACTGGGATCATGACCTGAGCTGACGCCTAATGACTGAGCCACCCAGGCGCCCACACAAGTCAGTTTTAAAAGAGAAGGAAACACAATGAAATACCACTGTGAACTATTAGAATGGCCAAAAACAAAAAAACAAACAAACAAACAAACAAAAAAAACCTAGCAAACCTAAATGCTGACAAAGATGTAAAGCAACAAGAACTTTCATTAATTTCTGGTAGGAATGCAGAATGGTACAACTACTGTGGAAGACTGGCAGTTTTTTTAAAAAACTAAACATACTCTAACTATACAATTCAGCAATTGTGCTCCTTGATATTGACAAAAAGGATTTGAAAACTTAGGTCTATACAAAAACATGCAAATGATTATGTATAGCAGCTTTATTCACGATTGCCAAAACTTGGAAGCAACCATGCTGTCCTTTAATGGATTAATGGATATATAAAGTGCACTACATCCACACCAAGGAATATCATTCAATGCTAAAAAGAAATGAGCCATCGGGCCATGAAAAGACATGAGGAAATCTTAAATACGTAGTACTCGGTTAAACTCTGTAAAGGGTAGATACTACGTGATTCCTACTCTGTGATATTCTGGAGAAGGCAAACCATGGCAGAAAAACATCAACAGTGGTTTCCAGGGGTTAGGGGAAGGAAGGGATGACTAGGAGGGCACAGAGCATTTCAGGGCAGTGTAATTGTTCTGTATGATACTATAATGCTGGATACGTGCCATTATATGTTTTTCAAGACCCAGAGAATGCACAACTTGGAGAGTGAAGTCCACTGGAGACTGTGGACTTGGAATGATTATGACGTGTCATCATTTGTAACCAATGTACCACTCAGTACATGTGATAATGAGGGAGGCTGTGTATGGGTGGGGACAAGTGGAATATGGAAACTCTCTGTACTTTTTGCACAGTTTTGCTGTGAATGTAAAACTGCTCTAAAAATAATGTCTATTTTAAAGTAGTAAAAATAACAGGGAGAAGGAAACTAACATTACAACCAACCACACTATTCTTCCATTCGTCTGATAAATATTTACTAACTTACTACCATTCGCAGATGTTCTTCTTCTTGTGCGTGCATTTTATTTGATTTTACATATATTAGATCTGATATTATATGACATTGGATTAGCATTGTTTTAATAAATATTAAACGTCAACTTTTGAAGCACTTTGCATGAAGATGATGAGGAGAAAAAGGGGAACTCGCCTGGAATGATAGCGTGTGGGCTAGACCACAGGCCCTACCAGCTGGGTGTGGAGTGCCTAATGGGGAGCATAAATGGAAAAGAGATCACTGGCCAGTTAGTGAGAGTAAAGGTGTCATTTCAAAGAAAAGAGTTTCCCCTGATCATTTTTCAAAGAGAAGTTGTACCTCATTAATGTTTAACATAGGTTTCTTTGGAGTCTTCTAAGAGTTTAGGGTTGGTTATAAGAAGAGACAAGAAGAAGTGGGAGCAGGGAGAAGTTAATGGGAGGCATGGTCCAGGAGAAAAGCAAAGCAGTGGGGAGGCACAGAGGACAGCATCCAGACCCACCCACAGCAACCCACAGCGCCTGGAAGTCCTGCCATGGATAGAGACCCTGCAACGGACCTGAGAGTCCACCTGTCGCCTTCCTCCCTGATCCTTTTAGGATGGCAGGGGCAGCAGGAGGTGGCAGGACCAGCGGCCTGACCATCACATTTCATGTCTATGAACTCAGTTTTCGCTCAAGTTTGGCTTTAGGCTTCCTAAATTCTTAGATAAAATTCAACCAAGAAAACTATAGTTATATATATATGAAAATATATATATATATGGTCCAGTGATGCCCCCCAAAATAAGCTTATCATCTTAGTTGTGTTTCTCTAAATAGATTAAAATAAAACTCAAGATTTCATTATAATTTTAGATGTATGACATTAACTAGGATCACACAGCAAACACTGTGTGTTTGGTTCACATTGTACCATTAAGAATTGATACTGTGTTTGTTTTGAATTCATTTTTCTTTTAATGCTTGAAATAATATTTTAATAGCTTAATGCATTAAGTCATGTATAATGGGAAAATTAGTTATAAACTGGGGATACTAATTGTAGTATACAATATAGCTAAATATATAGATACAGATAAGATAGATTGATTGACTTACTACACCATCTGCTTTTAATATATAACCAATCAGTGAACTGAAAAATGGCTTCTTTGCCTCTTTTTTTTTTTAAGGTTTTATTTATTTATTTGACAGACAGAGATCACAAGCAGGCAGAGAGGCAGGCAGAGAGAGAGAGGAGGAAGCAGGCTCCCTGCTGAGCAGAGAGCCTGATGTGGGGCTCGATTCCGGGAACCTGAGATCATGACCTGAGCTGAAGGCAGAGGCTTAACCCACTGAGCCACCCAGGCGCCCCTCTTTTTTAATGGCTTCATCATCATGGAGATCATTAAACCCAAATATTTTTAAGTAAAGCATACACATGTAAATACACACGCAGAGAGAAAACAACACTCGTAGTTTAAACTTCTGTACAAGTAGAACATCCTTTCTGAAGTATTACCCTAGTGTGGGTGTGGTTACAACCTAGATACATGTATGGGACACATGTATAATGACTACAAACTGCATCCCTCTTGAGTGGGTGCCAAGCAAACACTGGTGAAACTCTACATTGGGGAAAAGTTGTTTTCTGCTTCTTTCTCCCTTTTTTTTAATGGACCCAGTAACACCCGTAGCCACTTTCCCTGCATGCACTCACCACCACAGGCTGTGCAGACACCTCACAAAGCTAACGTCCTCCTCCACAGCCCTGTCCTCCTGTCCTGCTGTCTGTCCTTCCCTCTTCCATCCCTGGTCCTTCCCACGGGATGTGAGATACATGAAATGCCATATTCATGTTCTCCAAATCAGGGACTCAGCCCAGGAATTCTGTGAGAGCTTCAGCTTTCTCTCTTTCATTTTGGGGGTGGATGAAAGTCAGTCCTACAAGCAGATTCTGAATTCTTAGATGGCCCACATCACATGGATGATGCAGGCTCCCGTTTTATCTGGAGGCTGGTGTGGGAAGTGCTGCAGTAGCCACCTGGAGACGGTCCTAGCCATTTGCAAAAGGGGGTGGTGCTCCTGAAAAGAGAGAGATCACTTGATTTTGAAAAGCCAAGTTCCAACGAATCTTAGAAACATCACTGTCACTGGTAAAAGAGTCTCCCTCTCCATTCACTCAACAAATTTTTGTTCAACATCTACTATGGGATTGGCACTGCTCTTGGGATTGGGATAGAGATCTGGGCATGAACAAAAACAGACTTGCCCTCCAAGAACACATGTTCTAGCCCACAGTCAATGACAATGAACGTAATAAGGAAATTAGGGCAGGGATACGATGGATATGGGATATGATAAATTCTCTAACAGATTAAGGTAAAACAAGAATGCCGGCCTGGGATGAGGGTCTGGCTCAGGATTCAGTTTCAAATAGTGTGGTTGGAGTAACTTCACAGAGAAAGTCACATTTTTGCACCTTTGAAAGGGTGGGGATGTAGCCATGTGTCCAGCACATCTGTGAGATGAATGAGTTTTCTGTGATAAGAAAACTAAGTAGGGGAAGTGCCACACTATAACCATTTGCAATAAACCATATTTTTTTTTTTTACAAACCATAATTTTTCAATCCCTGAAGGACATGGAAGTTAAAAAAATGAAGACGCTATTACTGAATGAATCATGTTATTTTTTTTCCATATAAATGAGAAATGTTCAAATACAGCTTTGCTAATGAAAGCTCCATGAAATGGTCAGTATGGTAATAGCTCATTGGTTTTCCATTTTAATTTAAAAATTGGTCTAAACATTAAAGGACAGCAAAGAGAAGACTTATCTAGAGACATATTGCAAGGTGGGTTTTTTTTTTTCCTTTGCTTATTTTGAAAAATCAAAACTATTTTGGGTAAAAGGAACATCAAAATTTAATGTGATTTTTTGGTATTAAGCAGATACCTGAGTTAAGCATAACATGCGTTGGTCTTAGTGGTCTGTCATTGTGACTTTCTTATCTTCCTGGGCTTCTTAGATGAAAATCCTTGTGTTGGTTCTTCCAGTTTCTCATCAGCTTCTGGTTTCTTTAAAATGTTGGGAGAATGTTCTGATTAAGCATAATTTTAACGTGCTGTACTTCAGTCCCACAGCCCTTTAAGACAGTGGTTAAATTTAATAAGTCTCAGGAGCGAGAAGCTTCTCTTGCTCCTCCGTCTGCCTCATGCCATGAATATGGGCCATATTTAATAGAGAGAAATGTCCAAGACCTCCCTTTTGAGTGAAAATCACCTTTTCAAAATCTGTGACTTGAAAGGAGGTATGTTTGAAATGTTATCAGTAGGATATGAAAACATGTGAAGGCAATCAAATCTAAGGAGAACACTGGTTGGTTTTCTTTTTTCCTTTGTGTGCTCTAAGTCAGTTCAGTGACATTAATTGTAGCCATGGCTCCGTACGAAAAACCTGTTTGGGTCTAAATGGTGCAAGCTTCCTCTCTAAGGCCAAAGTTGTTTCCTGTGCTCTTGCAGATAAGGAGACAAGGAGGCATCCAGCTCCTGGTGGACCTGCTGGACCATCGGATGACAGAAGTCCACCGTAGTGCCTGCGGAGCCTTGAGAAACTTGGTGTATGGGAAGGCCAACGATGATAACAAAATTGCCCTCAAAAACTGCGGTGGCATCCCAGCGCTGGTGAGGTTACTCCGCAAGACCACCGACCTGGAGATCCGGGAGCTGGTCACAGGTTAGAGTCCTTATTAACAGCACACCTGCCTCCCAAGATAAAGCCTCCATGATCCAACATGGTAGCAAACATGCTGACCAAGGATGGTGGTTGCAGGGCTTCCCGGGGGGGTTGATACCATGGGCAGTCCCAATACGCATGAGCTGAACGAGAGAATAAAAGGATATCTGATCTAACACCTATGGATTGACCAAGTGGGATCGTTAGAATGCAGCCAACATAACCCTTCTAAAATTCTATGACCTGGTTTCAGTTTTGTCACTTGATTTAGAAGTAGCCCAGCACTGTACAACACCCACAGGTGATCATGAAAATGGCATTAAATAAGAATTAATAAAAGGATAAGATATGTGAGTTGTTATTAGTAAGGTGTATTTTCTGGTTTATAATGTGATTAAGAATGAGATCTCATCATACTTAACAGCTAATTTCTTGAAAAACATATTTATGCCTACTAGAAGTCCCTAGGTTATAGGATTACGTATTACATACATATTACATGTTACATACACATTACATATGGAATTTCTCTCACATACATGTATATATTTATGTATTATATATGTACATACATATTATGTTCATATACTATATTTGCATATATGTTTATAGTCGATATTTATATATTTACATGGAATTTTTCCAATGTGAACATGACAGCAAGCCTTTCTGTGAACACAGAACTCTTGAGTGTTGTAAAGTAGAGATCACTAGCACCTCAGAACGCCTTGAGGATTTGATGAATGAGAACTGTGAAGCATTAAGCAATACCTTTCCTGGCATATGTATGAACATTGGAATAACGTGTAAACATTAGCTTTCACTCTTGTCCCTAACCTTCAAAATGTGCACTTTTACTTGCTAGAGTGCTAGCAATGTGAGTGGCCTCAGTAAGGGCTTTCAGAGTACTCTTCTCGATTATCTACATTGTCGTTTTAGGTGTCATTTGGTTTTTTGTTCATCAACGTTCCCCTTTAAGTGTTTGGCAAATGGATTGCAAGACTGATTCTCAAAAAAGGATCTCTTAATTTGTCACAATGCCACTGGTCTTCTGTCTTGATTCCGTAACTTTCTTGAAGCTATGCTTATGAGATACACGGGATCTTGTTATTTTTTAGGAAAACACATTACTCAAGCTGAGAGTCATAAATATTTGTTCAGGCTGAGATGAAATCTCCCAGGTGCAGTCTGTTTTCTTAAATTTCCACCCTTTAAGATTATTGTCCCATCTCTTTCCCACTCTTAGCTAAATTAGAACTAGACCCCAATTACTTTCCTTTTGCTTTCTTTTTTGCATTTCTCTAAGTGGAGAATTGTCTTTGTAGAAAAAAAAAATTAGCTGTTAAAGTTACAGTGTTAATAAAGTGATGTTTCATACCAAACTAATATGGATCCGTTAAGGTAAAACTATTGTTATGTACATATTATGATTATAGGATAGTTTGGGGGGTGACGTAAATAATTGAAAGTATATGCTACCATTAGGGTTAGGAGACCCCATCCCTACTTTCCGATTGAGAGAAAGGCCTCCATGTGTGTGATGGAAAACATACTCCGTGGTGTTTCTGTGCGTGAAGGCCTTGTCAGTGGGTGCCTGAGGCCCACAGAACTAGAGGAACACCGTCTCCCAAGCACATCTGGCTATGCGGAAGATGGAGTACTTGACATACAGACAGAGTACACGTGCCCTTTCTCCTGCTCCTTTGGGGAAGAACGAAGGTTCCTACCCATTGTCGCGTGATGACCCAGTGCTTTTGTGTCAGCATGTGCCAGTGGCCAAGACTCATTGCACGTCCCCTCCTGACTTCTGTCAGGCTCGATCCAAGCCACTGGGCTGACTGGTTCCAGGGCGGCAGTCGCTGCTACTTCAGCAGATGTTTTATGCCATTCCAGAGGCACGGTCTTACTGTGCGCGGCTGCTCTCCAGGCATGAAGTTTAAGTTTTTCAAAGACACAAGTTGTTAAAACATTTCAGTGGGTTGAAGCTCACGGTTTCTGGAGTTGCCGTGGTGGGCACTATTGAAACATGATAAGCACCTTAGCCGAGCTTCTGCTCTAGAAAAGGAAATCAGAACCCACCACGTGCTAGTCCATAGCAATAAAGCCTTCGTAACTCCTGTGCTGGCAGAAATCTGAGGGTGCCTGGAAACCGGTTCTGCTAACTTCTGGGTAGACGTGGCATGAATGATGCAGATCGAGCCAAGGCTGACTGCACGCTGCCTGAGCAAAAGTAAAATGAGGCAAATGAATTCACCTCAAAGAGCCTTAGAGGGTCATGTTCACCTTCAGCACCAGCCCAGCCCTCCTCTGCCCGAGTGAGCTATGAAAGCCTGGATTCTGATGGCTCCGGGGGAGCTTTGGGAATCCAGCATTTTAGTACAGCTAACTGATTTAACCTCGAGGACATCAAATCCCCCATTTGTCTTATCTGTCATTCTCTTTCTACTCCTCCTCTGAGACTCTTGTCTCCCCCCAAGTCTGGTAAATGCTTTGCCACGCTAAGCTCACACTGTCCATTCATCCTTCATTTTTCATGTGCTTTGGACTTTCTGCGGGTGTCCAGTGTGTGCTCATCCGTGGACATCTGCACGGGCAGCGCTGACGTCCAGGGGCCCCACACGATGCTTCCACCAGAGCCCAGGGGGATGCTCCGTGGCGCTGTTTGGAATTGCCCCACCCATGCCTTGCTGGTGGCTAAATGTGAGAAGGGCTGTTGCTGACACACGTGTCTACATTTTAGAAACTTAATTAGATGAGCACTGAGGCTCATGATGGCTCTGGAGGATGGAGCCGTAAGAGTAAAAAGCCTCTCTTCACTGCTGTTGTCACTTAGTCACAGGGACACTTCTCAAAGCCTTTTCAGAATTAGGTTAGATATGCATGCATGAATTAATAAAGCAGTGATTTAAGTGAAACAACTATCCCCTTTACTTCCATTGTAATTCTGCAGCAGACCTAATAGAGAGTCCACCAAGGACTAAGCACTCAGTACGTGACAGAACCCCTCAGTACAAGGGAGCTTACACTCCTACCTTCTCCACCCTGAATACCAGCAAATGCATGAAAATCAATGTGTGTTAAAAATCTATATATATATAGGGGAAGGGAGGGTGAAGTACCCTTTGAATTCCTCTTTTAGATATTTACAAACTACGATGTCTTATAAACAGATATCAAAAAGAACAATGTTAGTGATTTTTAAAAAATAATAAAGCATGTTTCTAAATGAGATTTTAGATTAGACCTAGGCTGTATAACCAGATGGATGTAGAACCAAATTATAAACAATAAAAGACTAAAAGAAAGAAATGTTCCTGCAGAGCTTTAAATTATTTACTGAGGGGGCACCTGGGTGGCTCAGTCAGTTAAGTGGCTGCCTTCGGCTCAGGTCATGATCCCAGAATCCTGGGATCGAGCCCCACATTGCGCTCCCTGCTCAGCAGGGAGCCTACTTCTGTCTCTCCCTCTGCCTGCTGCTCCTCCTGCTTGTGTTCTCTGTCAAAAAAATAAATAAAATCTTTAAAAAAAAATTATTTACTGAGTATGCCTTGGCAAACTGTTTGAACTATAATAAAATGTAGAAATTTAGCTCTTTACATGCATTTACATTCTACACATAAGCACACACACTTAAAAAAAATCTGCCTGTTTGCACGCAGTATCTATTCACAGCAGAATGTATTTTGCTTCTGCCCGGTAGGCCTTGCAATAAATAATGTTCTTCCTGTGCAATAATTACTATGAGATGATGATCAGAATTTTATTTAAATCCAGTTGAAACTATTATATGCTAGCCATTACTCGAAACATCCTAAGCAAATAAACTTTGGTTACAAATGCTGCATGTCCTTTGGGCTTGACTAATATAATTTTTCTCTCTCTAAATATGGAAATAATCAACCTAAATTTTGAAGTGCCCAACTAAAAATTTCAGAATGCTTTACAAATCATAATAAACCACTTTTTATTAAACTATAAAACTTAATAAGTAACTTTTATTTCTGTTGAAAGCAAGGGTCCTTAAGAGTTCTTATTCTCCAAGAGCAGAGTATATTCTTGCATTTTGTACATCAAATGTCCTTTTAATTAAAGAGATAGGCCTCAGTTTAACTATTTTACTTACTAGCATTAGGTCAGTTAATTTAATTTCCAGTCTAAGTTGAATTACATGCCCCCCAAATTCATATATTTAAGCCCTAATCCATAGCCCCTCAAAATGTGACTCAGATGTAATAAGTGAAGTTAGGGTACTAAAGTAGGGTGGGCTCTTAATCTGATATAGCTGGTGTCCTTACAAAAAGAAGAAATTTTAGACCAGCTACACACAGGGAGAAAGACATGTGAACATGAAGGCACAGATGGGGTAATGTTTCCTTGAGGCAAAGAAGGCCACAGCTAGCCTGAAAACACCAGAAGCCAGGAAAGAGGCAAGAAGCAAATTCTCCTCACAGTCTTGGAAGGAACAAATCCAGGTGTCGTCTTGATCTTTGACTTCTAGCGTCCAGAACTGTGATAGTAAGTTTCTGTTGTTTTGGACATGCAATCGATGATACTTTGTTATGGCAACCCTAGGAAACTAATATATACCCAGATCCAAAGGTCCTTCATCTTTTTCCAGATGTGTGCAGACACATTTGTTGGTCAAGGAAATAAAGCAGTGCAGATAAGTGTAAAACCATGAGGGCTTAATAGTTGGCCTAGAGATCAGTTGGCCTGATTTCTTAATGCATCTTTTTTAAAGTATTTACTTGTGAAGGATTGGAAGTGGGAAAGATGATAATTAAATGCATTTTCATATTTTCAATCAAAGTAATGGCTGTATATGGTCAAAAGGTGAAATCGGGGGCCCCGGGTGGCCAGTTGGTTAAGGGCCTGCCTTCAACTCAGGTCATGATCCCGGGGTCCTGAGATCGAGCCCTGCATCAGGCTCTCCGCTCAGCAGGGAGGCTGTTCTCCCTCTCCCTCTGCTCCTCCCCCTGCCTATGCTCTCTCTCTCCCTC